ATAAAATTCTAGAACCCCAGGTATAATAAATCAAATTGCTTGAAGTTTGGAAAAGTATTCACGATGACTACTATAAAACAATAAAAAAAAAGATCGAAATAGCATTTATACGTGAAATAAATTTATAATAGACAAAATTGAATTTCATTTTTTATTTTATAATATTGCACATAGACTTCACAAATAAGTTAAAAGTATTCATGTGAATTGAACATTTTTTTTTTTCAATTGCTTAATAATCATAGGTAATAACCCCATTTTCGACGACAAGAAATTTTTCACAATGAAATTTTTATTTCCATAACAAAACAGTTATACATTTTTCATGCTGAATTCATTTCACAAAACCTTATTACTTTATTGTGGATTTAAACTGCCGTCTCAAAAAATAGTTAAAATGGTAAAATGAATAAGAAAGAAAATAATTTATATATTTAATTCCAAATACGAGTAAAAGAATTCGATATTCTAGAAAAAGCAATCTTGTGAAAGTTATATGCCCCTAAGAGACAACTTTTCTACTTTTATTTTACTTTATGAATTCTTGGATTTCCATTAGTTTTAGGAAAATGCTTCTTGCTTTCTAGAGTCATAGAGAGTTCCCAAGTGCGTACGGAAATTAATATTAGGTTATCAAATGTTTGACCTTAATTAATTAGAATAATCAAATGAATTTCCAAATATTAATTATCTTATGAATGACATCTTTTTGTTTACTTTGTTATACAAATGCAGCAATCATCTAATCGTCAAGATTTTACTTTTTGATTGTCAATGTTGTTCAAGTCAATGCTTGTGAGAAGCTTCTCTTACTAATAAAATAGTTTAAAGATATTGTTCTCACTTGTAATAAGATTTATTTGTCTCAATTATGCTTTTTAGAGCAATCTTCAATGGTGATGTGAAATAATTTAGATCTCAAAATTGATCGAAATCCTCTTCAATAAAGAGATGCAAAGGAAATGGAAATCGCATTTTGTGGCAAAAAATACTATTAGAGTTAAGAGCATATATAAAAAGCACAATCTCACATTGGAAGTCTATGAAACTTTTGGAAAGAAGTACATCTATAGTGTATTTACCCATTGTATGAGAATCCTATGATTGCGTTAATTTTTTTATAGGGATATATTACAACCGCTTTAGAAAAATACGAAATTCTATAGGTCGCAAAGTAATTAGAACTTGATGGTAAACTATTCAAAATGGTCAAAGAACTGCGAAATTAATTAATTTTGAACAGAGTTCATAACTCAAATAGTCTGGTAGTTCGCGGACAATTGAAACCATTGAACCATTAGACAATATTAATTAATTAATTCTCAGATTGTTAAAACCAACTCTATTGAACCATCGGACAATAATTGATTATGAACATTAATTAATGAATAATTACCTAAATTTAAACTTTCAATAGTTTTAGTAAAACTACAAAACCAAAATGGCTGAAGTACTCAAAATGAATATCCTAGCACTAGCAGTAGAGCTAATTTCCATCGAAGTTCTTCGAGAATTAGCCAAACCCAAAATCAGGTTCCAGTTCCACACAATGGAGAAAACGACCGTTAGTTTCAAGGCCTTCCAAATGAAATTGTACAATGCAAACAGGCCTTCAACGAAGAAGATGGTTCTTCTCGGGGAGTTCTTGTAAACAAAATGACTACCTTGTCTTCTTCTTTCGCCATCGAAGGCATGTTGCCTGTGGAAAACCTTCAAAAATCCACAATCAGGATGATCTTCGATCATTAGATAAAGATGCAAGAACAGATAAAAATTCTTTAGATGGAAAGGATCGGTTAATCAGATAGAATCCATGACTACAGTTTCTACTAATTGCTCATATTCTAGTACTAATGTTTGCACAACCCAAAACAACGATAATCAATCGTGAGCAGGAGACTAGACATGACATTGCCAATACTATTATTGTTCAGATTAATACAGTATAGTATAATCCAATTCACCTTGCCAATCATGTCATTAAAAAGTGACTTTCTTAATGTTTGCACTACATTTTCTATTTCCATTCTGTACTGAGCGGTCACAGCCCATGCTAAAATCCTCCTGCTGCTAGCAAGTTCAAATCCTTATCTCGTTAGAACTTGATTACATCTGTGCTAAGGACTTTTGAGCTTGAACCAGTTAGAATTTCAATTGCATTTGATTTCAATAAATGAAGAAAATATAAATATAAATCACATCTGCATAACTTCAACAGAAAACTATTGCATTAAAATGATATCAGAAATCTAATAATAGTAGCTAGGAGCTATAAAATATGAAACAGTTCTGGCAGATAGGGAGCAAACCTATATATGATGATCATGGGACCAAGTTTCTAGCTGTAGTTTATCTCCATGCAGTGTTATCTCCCAGCAATCAGCTTGGAACTTAAAAATGGAAAGCTTTTTGGGCAAAACTGCAAATAATAAGAACAAGATTAGACAAATGGTACATACAGACTTGTCCCAGAAAGATAGATAGGCAGTCAGGCAGTGCAGATGTCTCATTTGTTAATAACAATCTGATGCATTCTGTTAATAATTCAAAGATGGGAAACGCAATCAATCTCTAGAGACTGCTTATATGCATCCAAGACGATGAAATACAGACCATGAACAAGAGAGAATTCAAACTCATCCTGTTGGTTCATATCTTTTTATGAGGCCACAAAAATAAAATGCCCCCTCTCTACCCTTTCAAAGTTGGGGACAACAGATAACAAGATTTTGACAATGTCATGTAAAGTTTATGTTGTCAAGATGTCTAGAGTTTGTCAAACCAAAACATAAAAATCTAAAACTTTGTCACTAAGTCAAAAGAAGCAACGATTTCTTCTAGGTCAGCATAAAGAAACAAGAATATATACATGCCAAGTTACTTCACTAGCCGCTAAAAGCCTAAAATTTAAGTGTACAAACAATTAACATATAGCAGAGTCAGAGACTAGGAAGCACAAATAGTGATGCTACTATGGCATATGGTGCATGTTGTGGTAAGCACAAATTTTAAGCACTATACAAGCTCACCCAGACATGCTCATGATATTAGGGCTAGGCAATCTTCAGATTCTCAAGACTTTGGAGGATATGATAGATAAGTAAAATATACAGGTAAATAGATAAATTATATCAATTTGAAACATGCCAACTGCAGAAATGACAATCTCTTACAATTTGTCAAATTGTAAGGCGTGTAGTTAGCTTAATAAAATCAATGTAATTTATTTTAAATAATAGATCATGTATGTAATGTAAAGGTTTTTCAAGAACCTGTAAAATAATTTAATTTCTATGCTTTCATACAAAGAAAAAAGTTCCCGTGTAATTTTAAAAAATAGATAGTAACTCAAAAAGGGAACAAAGAGATGATGTTATGCACATTAAGGTTAATGAATTGATTTATTAATTGCTAAACTGAATCAAAATCATAACTCAAATGTCATGTTGAATCTCATTTACAAAAGTAGTAGTAGTAGTAGTAATAATAATAATAATAATAATTGGTTCGTGTGAGTTCTCCGAGCAATGCACGCATGGTTCGAGAACTCAACTCTGTTATTGGTTCGTAACGACTGTGATGCTTTGACTCTGTCCCTCTGTTTGTGGAGAATTTTGCTGCTCCTCATATCGCTCGATTACAGACTGGACTACTCACTGACTTGCTGGTTCCTTATCAGAATGTTTATGAGGCATAATATTTCACTTTTTGTATCTTCAACACTAAATACCAATGTCCCACTGGGCGTGCCAAATTGTTTCGCGCGGGTAGTCGCTAACAATTAAAAAAGAATTCAGATGATTGTGTAAGGGACAAATCTCTTGAGACAAAATCCCAAAAATGGGTGCTTTATTGATGAGAGTTACAATTGAAAATAAACAGAATGTCTCCAAGGGGTGCAAGCACACGAGTATTGAAAATGGATAATTAAAGTTAATCTAAGAAATTGAAATTACATATTCTCTGTTTGAGAGTATTTGATTCGGTATCTTTTCTCTATGTCTTCTCTTCCTTTTTATATTCCAATGATGATTTCTCTGTGACAAACTGTTTGGAAACTACTTGATTGATTTATAACTACCCACTTTCTTTATGGTGGCTAACTTGTCGTGGAATTGCCATCTCTAACTGCTATCATTACTCTTTGTCGTTCAACCGCCTTCAAATGAGCTCCTTGAATCGTGGAATGTGATAAGTCTACTTGATAACTGATTCAATAACTGCTATTCTGGATAACCGTAATATCTCATGTTGTTAAGATTCTGGGCGACTCGAAGGTTTGGGCGAGAACGAGGTCATTGCTCTGGGCGACCGTAAGGCACTCCATTCGCTCAATTTCTGGACGTCTTGCAAGCTTGTGTGATGATGTCACTGTATTCGTGGGCTTCCTCTGCATT